TACGTTTCGGTACTCTACCCGTGTACGTAACCGGATGTGTTCTTTGCCATTGGCGTCGAAAACACCTGCCACGATAACTGCAAATCGCAATGCACTTTTCAATGGTACTACATGCACAACGTGTTAAATTATTCCATAACACGCGGTTTTTCACTAGGGCGTGCATATCGATGCACAGGTGACATAACTTAATACGTCTTCTTTTTATGCACCCATACTTTATTGCGATTCCCAGTACACGTGTTCCACTATTTCATGGAACTTGCAAATACGATTGATACCTTTGTGTCTCGCGACACTGGTTCCGGGATTTGAAACATGCTGTCGCGTCTCGTGGTATTGCGCTAACTGCTACAACATGCTCATCTAAGAAGGCACCACTATGTTTTCCCCTTTATTTTAAACATACCGGTATGGTTCCGTTTTTTCTACTCTATATTCAAATCTATCGTCTACATTTCTTTTACACATTAATGAGTTCAATACTATTTTTGTACCAGCTGACTATAGTTGCAGACTATTGTGAATTTATTGTATTTTCTATATTATGTAATTTTCCTTATGTAAATCGTATTCTATTCTACATTAATAAATGATACCAGACGACGACATTGAAATTATAAATAAGCAATGTAACTTCGTTCGCATCACATTCACCTCTATATCAATAACTTACAAACTTTTAAAATTGGACTCATAAATATACTTTTAATATAAAACATTTATGAATTGCATTACTAATTGTAAACATGACGTACAAGAAGACCCTAGCCTAGCTAAGAAACACAACATATCAATATGTTATTACTCGCGGATATGATTGCATATCCGCGTTCACTGTACTCGTCAAAAGCACGTATACAACCAGTCGCCCGTGCCGCTTCGGACCTATCATCCTACGGCATGATTGGGGACCAGAGGAACAAAAAGCATGCGACTCACCCGATGATAGAAGGGCTCCGAATATGGGAAGAATCTCGTGTCTTCGAGAAGAATCTGAAAAAGGGAAGAAAATACATTAGAATCTCTTCTCAAAGTTTTAGCTATGTTGACTGCATAATGGAAGTAATAAAATATAAAGATACTTACATTCCTTGATGGTGGAGCTTTGCCCGAGGACATCTTCTTAAGTGTTCAGTGGTGAAATATATGAAAAATTACAGGTTTTGGCTGAGGTCATCTTCTTGAGTATTCAGTGACAAATTATGTGATTAAGCTGAAAAAAAGGGAACAACATGTGTTATTATCTCTTCTCAACAAGCTAGAACTTTGGTTCTAGCTATGTTGACTGCATAATATAAGTAATAAAATATAAAGATTCTTACATTCCATGATGGTGGAACTCTGCCCAAGGACATCTTCCTAAGTGTTCAGTGGTGAGATATGTGAAGAATGCAAGCTTTGCCTAAGGACATATTCTTGAGTATTCAGTGACAAATTATGTGATTAAGCTGAAAAAAAGGGAACAACATGTGTTATTATCTCTTCTCAACAAGCTAGAACTTTGGTTCTAGCTATGTTGACTGCATAATATAAGTAATAAAATATAAAGATTCTTACATTCCATGATGGTGGAACTCTGCCCAAGGACAGCTTCCTAAGTGTTCAGTGGTGAAATATGTGATGAATGCAAGCTCTGCCTAAGGACATCTTTTTGAGTATTCAGTGATAAAATATGTGATTAATCTGAAAAAAAGGGAACAAAATGTGTTACTGTCTCTTCTCAAATTTCTAACTGCTTCAATTGAATAGAGTAAATATAAGTGAGCCTTTGAATGATAAATATGAAGTTAAATGTACAACTATTAGCTTAACTATGCAATAGTTCAAAAATATTCAGTGTTAAAGTATTACAGAATAATTACTAAATTCATAAACATGTAATATTCATTGTTCATGTATAATTACTACTAATATACTATACTAAAGTTGTTAGAGTTGTAAGCATGTTCGTTATTTCTGTCTAAACCACGTTCCAAATTTCATAAATATTCAGAACATTACAAATATAAAATTTTCAATTTTTAACCCATGCTTCAGTGTGTATGATAAATTACGCAGCTTCTACATAATCAAACTTACTACCGAAACTGCACATAAATGCAAATATGATGATTTCATAAATATAAACGTCTAAAATTAGTAATATTTAAACGATTTCGCGACTCGGATACAGTAAATTGCGAGTATTTCAAATTTGAATGTGTAGAAGTACTGTCGTTTAAACTTTGTAAAACCCGAGGAAGCCATCTTGAATGGTTCAAATGCGCACTTAAATTTAAAATATTTCTCGAAAGAATTTTCGTTCGCTTTTTGCATAATAACTAACGAAATCACGATGCTCTCGGTTGGAAACAAAAAGCACGACAAAATAAGAATATATAGTGGAGTGTCACCTACTTGTTACAACAAATTGCCGGAGTTCACCAATTTCCCGCCAAATTACGTCTAAACGGACAGTCAACGGCCATTGCGTGGGTGGTGCGTCCTTTCCAACCGAAATTCTGAAACAGAAAATAAACATTCATTCCATGCAGTTAAATTGAATTAAGAATGGTTACATCATAAAATAAACAATTATTGACTCGAATAGTGTCGCCGAAGATTACAAATTAAATAAAAACTACGGAAATACGAATTGGTATCAAAGAGAGAACAGAAGCCGCGGATACCGCTTCACTTTGAATCGCAATATCGAATGAATTTATGATTATTTATACTGAATTGAGTAAATATTGAACCAAAGTAACGATGGTGAGCTAACAAAGGTACTATTAATATAAATGACTTGAAGTGAAAGGTAAAATAACGTACTTCAGCAAGAGCGAGACCACTTCACGTCTAATCACTTTAACTTCCCCGATACGAATAACGCCTAGGCTGTCCGTGACTGGCTAAGATTGTTTAATTCGGTTATCTTACGAGGTTCGTGATTGGTGGTTCGCTTGGTGAAGATTGGAGTTTTCCCTCCCAACTCCACTTCCTATTTCAACGAAATAGGAATCCACCACCGTATTATACATATTCCAATACATTTTTCTTGTGTACACCCGAAATTAACTCAGCGAGGAATGTCACTCATAAATAGATGCGTAAAATTAGTAATATTTAAACAATTTCGCGACTGGGATACAGTAAATTGCGAGTATTTCAAATTTGAATGTGTACAAGTACTGTCGTTTAAACTTTGTAAAGTCCGAGGAAGCCATCTTGAATGGTTCAAATGCGCACTTAAATTTAAAATATTTATCGAAAGAATTTTCGTTCGCTTTTGGCATAATAACTAACGAAATCACGATGCTCTCGGTTGGGAACAAAAAGCACGACAAAATAAGAATATATAGTGGAGTGTCACCTACTTGTTACAACAAATTGCCGGAGTTCACCAATTTCCCGCCAAATTACGTCTGAACGGAGAGTCAACGGCCATTGCGTGGGTAGCGCGTTCTTTCCAACCGAAATTCTGAAACAGAAAATAAACATTCATTTCAAGCAATTACATTCCTTAGAGAATGGTTACGTCACAAATAAACAATTATTGAACTCAAGGTATGTCGCGGAAGATTGTAAACTGAATCAGAAATGCGCAAATACTAATTGATACGGTGTGGATAAGGGAAGCCGTGGAGACCGGTTCATTATCCGCGGTAGCGAATTAATTTAAGATTATTTACGTTAAATTGAGTAAATATTTGAACAAAAGTAACGATAGAAAGCTAACGAAAGTATCAATAATATAAATGATTTGAAGTAAATGGTAACAGTCACATACTTCGACACGAGCGAAATCACAATACGTCTAATCACTCCAACTTCCCCGAGACGAATGACTCTTAAGATTGTCTTTCGTTGGTCATAATCGGCGGATTCGGTTATCTACGAAGGGTCATGATTGGTGGATCAGTAGGTAAGGATAGACCCCCTCCCCCCAGCCCCCGTCCCATGCCCTATACACTTATATTTCTATCTTAACGAAATAGAATACTGACCACCGTATTGCATTTCAATGTGACATTTTTGTTATGTTTACTCGAGATTAAAAAAATAACTACGAATAAAACGGAAAAACAGAGGCACGCGACGATTTTACAGAAATTTAATTTCACAGGGGTCCCATGGTTGTAAACAATGTCATGTGTTTTGTGCCTCTGGTTAACCAATTTTCCAAACCTCACATTCCAATACACCCACCGTTCATGAAGCAATTGAACTGCATACATACCCTTTTCCTTCCTCAGAAATTTGGTATTCCGATTCGTTTTAGATGGTACTCATTATCATCATAATATTTTTGCTGCGCTCTGCACGAAGTTTCGAAACCTGCTGCTTCCTGCACCTTGTGCTTTCCTGGGCGCCACCTATAATAATGTTTCCCGCCAAATTACAATGGCGCTAAATTTTAAAAGAGAACTGCAAGGTGTTACCAATTAAATAATTGATAAAAACATTTGTTTATGAAGGAAATAAAGGAAACTGTATAGCAATCTGTTTAACCTCGTTGAATGTTTATATCTACGTATAAACGACAGTTAGGTAGACTACGTATTTTAAAGTACTCCTTGCAAACCGCAAACTGAGACAATGTTTAAAAAATGTTAACAACTTGCAACTGCCGCTTGATTCCAAGAGTCTAACATCTAGTTATTAATTAATAAATGATAATTGGTTAATGTGGATGCGCGTAAAAATTTACAAGAAACACCCATTGAATATTAGTGGTCTAAAACAAATGTTAAAATTTGTTGAACAGTGTAATTAATAATTAGTGACCTAATAACAATAATCCATCCTTATGCATAACAACATATGTACATACATACATCGTCTATATTATGTTTCTGTGTCAGGAATATAATTTTACCAACTGCGAGTACATGCAGATATCTGAAAAGGAAACAATGCAGAAAAATGCTGTAGTGACATCTTTCTAAGGAAACAAGTAACGTTTAATGCATAAACTTAGAAAATTTGATCCGTGAGAGGTTGAGGTCCTCGCGATCGCAAGATGGCACGCGGATAGTAAGAATTATCAAGAAATATATTAAAAAACATTCACGGCGAACGATCGTATTGAATAACGATGGCATCGGCTTACGTTAAAGATGAGCAAGGTAATGACCGTTTTTGCTCCGTTCAAACATTTCGGTTATTTCGATGAACCAACTATTTATAACCTGTAGGATGTAAACAACTTATACTGCTCAAATGTAAGCCGCATTTTGATGCTTATTCTATTCTAAATCATAATTAAATATCGACAGATTCATATAATATAAAATAAATGTTTGGTTTCATGTAACTTGATAAGATTGATGTAATAGAAATATTTATGCCTTGGGCCTATTATGAGTCATTAAATTGATTTTTTTTAATAGTAAACATTTACATAGGTGGAACATTTATACCTGCTAGTCAACGTCCAGATGGCACATGGCGTAAGCCACGGCGTGTAAAAGATGGCTATATTCCACAAGAAGAAGTTCCATTGTATGTAATGGTTTATTCAACAATGTTATTAACATTGTTTCATATCTAACATCATCATTTTTGTCTCTACAGATATGAAAGTAAAGGAAAACAAATAAAAAATAAACCCCTGTACCCTGTGGGTGCAAGTCCAGAATTTATAGCTGAACACAAAGCTAAAAAAGAAGCACTGCTAGCAGCCAAGTCTAAAACTGTTCCTGGTGCTTCAGTGAAAACAGAAATTAAAAAGAAGAAGAAAAAAAATAAAAATAAAACAATGGAACATATAACAGAAGAATTAGCTAAAACTACACTCTCAGAGCCAGAACAAAAGAAGGAACCATTACAACATAATAACAAATCGCAATCCAATATTAAAACAGTACCAAACAATCAGACCCTAGCAGCAAAACCAAATGCTTCTAATCAGTCTGAAGCTGCAGCACCAGATCCACAGAAAAAATTAAAAAATCTGAGGAAGAAGGTTCGAGAGATTGAAACTTTAGAAGACAAAATTAAAACTGGATTACTGAAAAATCCAGAAAAGGAAATACTTGACAAATTAGCAAGAAAATCTGAGATTTCAAAAGAGATTAAACGATTAGAGGCAAGTCAATAGAAAAAAGGAGTTGATAAAGAATATATTTGCACACTCTCATGGATCATTACTTTGTAGTTGTACCTAAATGAATGTGTGTTTCTTAAGTTTGAAAACGATTTTAATACAGGTTGACGTAATTTTCGTATGTTCATCCTCTTTATACAGTAAATATAATAGCAGTATGAAGATGTACATTTATATGAGAAAATTCAAATTGGATACTAATGAATTTAGTACACAATTATGTCACTATGTGAAAGATTAATCGATCAGATTTTAATAAAAATAAACTGTTTTCACATACTACACGTTGTTATTCGTGTCATCAAAAATAAATATTATATCACAAGAAATCGAATTCATTTTCCGTTTAATGTGTTCCTAAAAATATTACATAAAAAAATAAGTTCTTCTAAAATATTTTCTCTAGTAACGTCCGATTATTTGTTGTATCGTTTTCAATTGATGTTGTCCACAAAAAATTGTCACTTATTATACCTTTAATTAACATTTAATTTATTAAATACGAAATTAGATTAATGACCCATAGCGCTATCTATAGTAAAGTTTTCAGCTTCTAGATTTGGCGAGAACCAAAAAAATGTCATAGATGAAATACACAGTATATGCTCAGATTTAACCTTTATCGGTAACATTGGGTATTGACACTAAAATGATAATGGGGGTTCTAGGACCCCGATAAAAATGTGGCCACGAAAACAACGAAAATGCATTGGGTGACTGATTTTTATTCATATATCTTATCTGTATTATTAATTAATGATTTGTTAATTAAACGTAGAGTCACTAACAATTGTTTTGTTCTCACCAAGTCATATTAAATATGTATTATTAGCATAAATGGAGTATTATATACCTCATTTATATTACGTGTACATTAGTTGCCTGTTGTGTAAAATAAACATGGAAAATGTTTATGGAATTCAATAAAACGTTTCAATAAACTCTTTTCTTTATGAGATCCACGTATGTATGTACATGAAACTCGTTAACTTTTCTTTAATACTCATTCATTTGAAAACAATATGAAATTGGTTGAAATTCAATTGGCGAAGAGATCGCGAGTCAGATTGAAGGAAACATTCGTCGGTTGACCGTCGGTGAATGAATAATTGATGTAATCGAATTAATGGAAACTAAATGCCTTTCGGCAGCAAACCTGAATGTGTCAAGTGTGGGACTCGAGAGACCCCGCTCTGGCATTCGACCGAGGCTGGTAACCTTTGCAATACTTGCCTCGAAGATGAGAGAAATTCTGAATCGAATACGACCGTGAAAACCGAAGAGGAGGACAAGGGAGGATCGTTAAAGCCTACGAGGAGAAGTACAAGGATCACTAGATATTGTAACTCAAAGTCCGGTGTGTCACACAAAGTCGTACCTAAAGGAAAAGGACGAAGAAATTTATTTAAAAAGACAGTATGTTTATCTAGATATTTTAGTCATTCATAAAAAACTCTGCTCTACCTTGTTTCTTTCATGTTTAGCCAGTTAAAGCACCAACAGCCACTGCAACTCCAATTACAAGTAATTATGTATTCTACAAAGGCACTTATTTTCAAATAGGTGATATAGTGTCTATGCAAGATATCGAAGGTGGGATTTATTATGCACAAATTCGTGGTTTACTCACAGATCAGTACTGTGAAAAGAGTGCTGCTGTTACATGGTTGCTGCCTACCACAGCAAGGTGGTATATATAAACATTTAGTTTAGTTAATCTGTTATTCTTAAAAAGAAAAAAAATATATGTGTGTATACATAAATATTTTGTATTTAGCCCACCACCAGATAAAGGATTCAGTCCTGAAACATATATTATAGGTCCAGAAGAAGATCTCCCACGTAAACTGGAATGCATGGAATTTGTAATGCATGCACCATCAGATTATTATAAACTAAAGAATTCACCATATCCACCACCACTCACAGAAAGAGGTACTGGATATATATGGACTACATTTAGAAATGAAATTGCTACATCTAAAAAGTAATGTTCCATTTTGTAATACTGTTGTTGTAAAGCTATTCATTAGGATATGTTATTCAATCTCTAGTAAGTAATGATGAATCTTACTTGAAAAAGTTACATGGAAGTAATTAACATAAATCAGAGAATCCTTGTAAATCCTTGAAAAATAAAATTTATCATGCAGTATTATAATATTTATTTAACATGTTTTTAATACAATATAACATCAATATCTAACATCCTTGATAATAACTGAATGGAGGTGTTCACAAATCAGATAACATTAAAGATACTGCTTTGAACATAGTAAAGAAAATGCATTTTCGTAAGTTACACTATAATAGAAATATGCTTTTTTAATATCATACAGGAATGATGAAACTTTTGTAAAGTACAATATTAGTATTTCTAGATTTATTTCTTTACCTCTTTTTACATCTTCAAAATCTGAATTTTGTTACTCCGTATCCTCTGTACCAAAAATACGAAAAAGATTTCTCGAAATTTTATGATAAACATCCTCTTCGGTCTGGAAATTATTTCTAAAAGCCTTCAAAGAGAAAACGATCTTCGTTCTTTAATTCTGGTATTGTTGAGAAGAAACATATGAAGTGTTTGTAGGCAGTATTGGTGCATTTTCGTTCATTTGTAGGGAAGAAAAGTAAACCCTTGTGGTATCGCTTGCACTTGGAATCGTAGAGGAAACCGGTCAGCTCGGGGCCAACGAAGTAACGGCTGGTCAGAATTTGAGGTCTTTTATAGCCTGTGGCAAGTCAGGCAACTTCATATCCTTTATCTGTTGCGGTATATTCATATTCTTGACAGCAGAAACAGCACGCGCCGGCGCTGCTGTGATTCCTGCCTGCACATACCATATGGATGGAAAAAATGGAAAACGGAAAAAATTTAAAGGATTGAATTGAAACTTAAATTAAATCGTAGAAGTAAAGACAAAAGAATGGCTATGCAGTACATTTTTTATTCTTAGAGCATAGCGACGTATACATTTGCATTAAGGCACTGTTATCTGAGCAGACATTTACAAACAATAGCACCACCATGCGTGTTACGAGTATTTGTCTTGTAAAGCTACGAAATATATGTGTTTTGAAATTCTTGGTAAAAAGAAGAGAAATCACAGATAAACAATATAAAGGAATGAAAGTGTACAAAATGATCTGATCTTTTTTTACTGCCGATTTACTTAAGGAGGGGGCCCCAGAAGGACAAACGGACGAGGTGAGCAAGATCGTCCTGATTTGTAAGTTCCCTAAAATTCATGTTAGGTAAATCAGTCCTACCACCAAATGAAACTGCTCTACGAAACATTCCAACACATGCATAGCTAACGAATAGACTGTTATAGGCTATTAACTTCTTCAAGCCCACACAACTATGCTCAATGAACTTCAAATGTTACTTCATTTATAAATTCATATTACTAAGAATATGTATTTAACTGACATGAAATCGGGCCCAAAAAGTTAAGGGATATTTGTAAAAATTAGTTGTCACAAATTTGACACGTCTAGTTAAATTTAATCACAGTGCACTGCTATTTTATATACAAAATCTGTTATCTTTAAATACTCATAAACTATACAACTAAAGCTTAAACATACAAACATGTATCAATCTCATAATTATTAGATAATAAACTACTTACCTCTTGTTTTTCTAATTTGTTTTGATCTTCAATTCTTGTAAGTATCTCAGTCATATTAGTTTCTAGAACCATTCCACCCATTACCAGTTCATTAAGTATATAATGAACTTTGTCTACATGAAAAATGAGATCCAGCTCGCATACATTCTCAAAACATTTGTCCAATGTTTCTACAAAGACTTGTATCAAGTCTAAAATTCCCAATTCTGATTCAGAACTATCAACACAAAATACAAAGTATAATGTTGCATAGTGTCGATAAATTAATTTATAGTCAGATCCACCAATTAAGCTTCCACCTTCCAAGAAATTACAAACATTGTCATCTCTTTTAGATACTAATTGAAAAGTTTCTTTTATTATCTGCTGCTGCATGTCCTCGTTCTAAAGAAAGGAACAAATTTTGAACACATTCTAATCAACAATAACAATTCCCGTGTTATTCTACTTACAAAGTATTGATAAAATTTCGAAAGTCGAGGTTTTCCATGGTTATTAAACACTAAAATAGCCTTAATCATGACTGATAATTAATTGCTAATATAAATGTCTATGTACGTTTTTCTACTAACAAAATATATTCATTTGTACACGAAAGAGATTAATGTGATAATAGTAGATGGTATAAAAATAGCGGTAAAAGTTAATACACAAATAAATAACTTATATTGCAACTGTCAATGCACTTGATCTTCTTCACAATACTCATTATTCATTATTTTCTTTTCGTCTTCATTAATGTTCCTATTTATTATAATTTCATAACAATATTAATATGAATTAATTTTATTTAATTCTTCTTGGTTACTGTTCGGTTCTAAACCATTCTATGTACACCGGTACTGACCAGTACTAAAAAGTGCTAAAGAGAACTAAAAAGTTTATGAAATATTTGACTAAAACAAACGCCATCTGGATCACAGTGACGTTTACTCTACTGACTACCCTGACCACCCTGCTACCTCCAGTACAACCTCAAGTTCCGCAAAATGAATTTGTAGTGAGACAAGCAAGAGGCAAGAGAACAGGCAAGAGTGTGAAATAACGCTGTTTACAGAATCAGTGGCGCTGCGATAATATCACGGATAACTAATCCGTGTAATCCAATACGGTGCAATACGAGTTGTTGCGGGTATTGAGATTTTCTAAAAAAGGGAAAAAATATTTTCCATTTCCTATATCTTAATTATAAAAATGTTTCGTCAAATTTACATGACATCTTCCTATGTATCGTAAGTTCAATCTTACGAAAGTAGTAAATGGAGAGCTGTCAAATGCAGCGTAACGCAATCATCGCATCTCGAAGGTAAGATTGTTTACAGGATATTTTGTTCAGGATTACACTATAATGTTTATATTCAATTTTCATTGATTGTGACTTCAGAAATAATAAAAAAGGATATTTCTTTGAATATTGAAAGAAGAAAATAATACTTTTACACGTTCACAATTTTGACCACAGTATTTATCTATGGAGAATTTCTGATACACCTGTATTTGAATTGAACACGCTACGTACGTCACTTCTTATCTAATTTGCGTCATTATAATGTCAATTGTAGCTACCGATAAATATAAACGAAACATTAAGAAATGTTAACCCACTGTAAAATAGATTTTTAGCCTGAATAATACTCCATCATTTTTAGAGTCTTTAATAATATTGATAACACTGACAGAAATGTTTGTTTACTTTTTCAATGATTATATTCATTGTAAAATAAATAAAGTGTGAGCTAGCTAGAAATGAATAATTATGGTATTCTTGTAATATTCTTTTGTAATATAAATAAAAGCAAATATGTACTGTTTGTGCCCAGATGGACAGATTGCGATTGTTGCCATTGGAATTACCATCAGCCACTAATATAAACAATAATGGAATAGTTAAAGGAAAAGTATCATTTGTTCGACGATTAGCAATAGGATTTGTTATTTTGGCTACGTTAGGCTTGTTATATGTACCAGCATATCATTCTGCCCAAAGCCCATTCTTAGGCTTAGGTGAGACTCCATCCCCTGCAGAATTTATTGGTGATACACACTTGGTAGTCTCTCTGGGTATGCATTTACTAACATAGTTTGAAATTCTATTGCAATATAAACTAACCAGTCTTGCTCATTGATTTTGCTTTCACTATCTTTCTTCTAAGTATCAGACAAATCAAATTGAAATACTCTTTGTCTATGTAAGCTTATGGTATAATATTTGCCAATAGATATAGTTTACATATATGGACATTTAGAAGTATAAAAAGCCAATAAATAAATAAACAACATAGACATTTAGTGGAAGATACAAATAAGTTGAATTAGCAGTTCTTCTCTTATCTATTTATTGTAGTATGCTTGAGTCTTATTGAAGTTGAATGAGTACTTATTTTTTCTAGCATGTATAAAAGCAAAAACAAAGGGGAAGAATTTTATGAATAGATTTGTTCATGAAAGGGAAACAAAATATTTATAAACAAATTCATTTACAGCACAGTTACCAGGATGGTCATATAATACTTCAAGAGATTTATGTACATATATTCATCCAGAGAATACCACTTCAGTTTTGGATCCCATTGGTATTTGTTCACCATCGCCCTATCTGTTAATAGTTATTTGTTCAGCTGTTGCGAATTTCAAAGCCAGGGCAGCTATAAGAGATACATGGGCTAATAAGAGTAATCTAGATAATATATATAATTCAACAGTCAAGATAGCATTTCTTTTGGGACAAAGTGACAACGATACACTCAATGTATGTACCAATCTATGTTAAGAGTGTAGTATTAAAACTACAAGAACAAATTTAAAAGTAGTACTACTTTATAGAATATAGTAGCTGAAGAAAGTCATCAATACAATGATATTATTCAAGAAAAATTTCATGATACATATAATAACTTAACGTTAAAGTCTGTTATGATATTAAAATGGGTAACATCCAGTTGTAGACAAGCTAAATACCTTATGAAAACTGATGATGACATGTTTGTAAATATTCCTATATTAATGAAAACATTACAATCAACATCACAATCTACTGACACATTATTAGGATCTCTTATTTGCAATGCTAAACCTATTCTAGATCCAAATAATAAATGGTAAGTAGTTGTTCAGTATAGAATAGTTATACATAATGAAATATGCTTTTAAAATTCATGTTAATATGTTCCATTAGGTACACACCAAAGTATATGTATTCAGAAAAAATTTATCCCAATTATTTATCAGGTACAGGATATGTAATGAGCCTAGATGTGGCATTTAAATTATATAAAACAGCATTAACAACACCACTGCTTCATCTGGAAGATGTTTACATCACAGGTGTTTGCGCGAAACGTGCGAAAGTACGGCCTGTAAATCATCCTGGTTTCAGTTATGTACCAAGGAAATTAGATCCTTGCATATTAAAAACTGTTATCACAACACACAAAGTAAATGTATCTAATATGCATGGAATATGGAACAAATTGCATAATACAAACCTTTCTTGTGGTAACCATGCACCCACTGATAAAAAATCAGTTACATTAAGTAGAAATGGTAGGAATATTGGATATTATATAGTGAAAAGAAGAAATACCAACAAATGTGTTTGAAGTAACTTATATCTTTAAACATTGAATCTGTTAATTATTGTTGATTTGATATTTGTTAGAAGTTAACAATTCAATGATTACAGAGATATAAAATATACCAATGGATATTGTCTTAGGATAATTGAAACTGTGCATAGATATTACTAATAGATCTGAAAATACTTAGATCTGAATATTAAACTAAAAACCGTGCTTCCTTTAGGTTTTCTTTTATTAAACTATGATCCTTGCTATATATTTTTACAGCAAGAAGGATTTGTATTTGATGTTTAATGATAATTAATGAAGTTTTTATACACTATTTTTCCATTTAAATAGCAGTAGGTCTTAAGGAAACTCTGTCAATTAGATTTTTTGTATGAACAATTCAATCTTTTGCCTAAATGTATAAAACATTGATGATTGGATGCCAATCATCTATCGAACTTCTGTTCAAAAAATTGGAATTACTCTAGTATACTATGAATATTTTAAAATAAATATAACACGTAATATGAAGATGCAACTGTATCAATAATTATGTTTTAATGTAAATTTTTATAACCTCATTGGGCATGGAAGAAAAACCAATCACAAGAATTATAAATTATTGCATGAAGAAGTTTCAATTAATAACACATCCATAGAAAACTATTAATTTATATATTTAGAAAATAAATACAATGAAAATATGATGATCAACATGTGATCAACAAATCATACTATACATAAACATTTATATACAGCACATTTCACATCCTGAAACTTACTTATTTCATTTTTTTCTCTTTTTTCAATTCCTTTTTCGTTTTTTTCAATGTTTTTGTTTTATCTATTACAATATTAGTATCTATTACTTTTTCTACTATTCTATTTAATATTCTGTTACTAGTATTCTTTTCAGAAGAGTCTTTAGCACTAACATGAACAGCCTCCAGACTTTCTGTTATTTTTTCTAATTTAATCTTTTGCTTTTTAAAAAACTTTGCCTTCTTTTTCTTCATTATTTTGGAATTTAACCGGTTTGCCTCTCTTTTCCAGTGTGTATCTGGGGAATCTGGACGAACATATGAATTTATAATATGACCACAGTTTACAGATGTGTTATTAGAAGTAGGGTGTAATATATTAATATTTTCCCTCTTAGTTTGGGACGTACATTCTCCCTCTTCCTGTATATTAAGAATATTCTTTCGATATTCTTTATTTCTTTTCTTTTTCTTCTTCTTTTTGTGTGTAGGATCATTGTCATATACTTTCCCTTCATAGTCATTTATTTGTTCTCCAATCCTGTCCTTAGCTTTGTCAGTATCTAATTTTTGTCTTACAGAAAATGAAGTATCGTGAATTTCCTTATTTTCCTCCTCCTTTTTAATTCTTTTAACATCACAGGATATTGAACTCTTTTTTTCCTTATTCTTTCGTTTCTTTTTTGGTTTTGATTCTTCATTAGGTTTGTGATTAATAGTACTTTGTTGATAACTTTCATCACTATCATTTACATTGCATAAAATATTTAATTGATGAGTCAAATCATTTATTTTTCTTTTATTTTTTCTCTTTGTATCTTTGGATACCTTTGGAGCACTTTCTTCTTTAAAAAAGGAAAGAGAAACAAGTAAATTTTCCTCATCTCTGTCATACTTATCTTTCTCTGATTTGTTATGTGTTTGTAAAAAATCTTTCTCTTGTTCCTCAATCCTTCTTAGTTTACCATTTAATTTTAAGCCATGTCTAGCTCCTTTATGAGCAGTTCTACCACCACATATTTTAAATAACTCTTCATCTGTTAAAGGAATGTGCATAACATCCTTCTCAGGTTCTTTTACTTCAAGTACATTACTATCATTTTCTTGTACTAAGTTGCCATCAAGAAGCGTAGAAGTTTTAAGAAAATTTCCATAGCTCAATTTCTTTTCAGTCAAATTTTTTTCATAAGATTCATTTTTACTTTCTTTTGAAACACATATGGATACACCATGTAATTGCGACTTAACCACAATATTATTAGTTGCATTATTATAACCAGTTGCCCACCATTCATTCCAATCTTTATCCTTATGTCCTATTCCGGCTGAATCAAATTTTAGTTTTGGTCTTAACGCTTCCGTAATACCGCTTTCATTTTTACCCAAGCCTTTACCTGTTTCAATGCAAAATTATTAAATATTCATAACATAAGTAAACAATTTGTATTAAAGTGTTATGACTCGTTCTAAACCCTACCTTCTGTCCAGCCATATTTTAAAAGTTGAGCTTTCGCAAAATCAGTCATTTTTAATTGTTTGCTGGTATAATTTAAATTTCATTCAAACCTAAATCGGTGGAAATGTGCACGTTTTTTTTTAAACAATGATATTGATGAATCTAGTGTATCAAAACTACTTGGTTTCCCGAGGGTTACACAAGTTTAAATCCTCACAGCCATCACATGATGGCGTTGTGTGGCGTTGTGTACGTTGTGATAGAACTGCATGTTTGGAATATTTTAAGTAACTTTGTCCAGTTGTAACACTCAAACGATGGTTTTTAAATTCATTGATATTTTTTTAATACTTACTTACACTAGAAATAAAATAAAATATACTTGTATTTCCACCTATAAAATATGTGCTATCTCAGAATAACTTCTGTTTTTATATTTAACAAGTGCACGACGAAACATAAAACATAGACATAATATTCATAGCATTTTTAATTAGTTATGTAACTATTCGACAGATGAAAGGTTTTAAATAATTATCGAAAGAATATGTTCGAAGTTTTTATCGTGTAAAACTGTAAATACACTTTTAACGCGAACCATGTATAGCTATTACAGTAGAAGATGTTCAAGCTACGTCGTTTAACATTTCGTTGATTTGACGTTCCATGTGCCAAGTGTTCATGCGTAATGTTTTTATGATATGCATCTTGTTAGTATCAAACGTTTACGCGTATATTTACTATGATAATTCCATCCACCCCACCATTATACAGCAGAATTTATTTGATGGATATTACCGACATAGCTCGATGTCAGGGAAATGAACAATCTTGAACGGAGTGTGTTTAACAGAAAAACGGATTTTTAGTGTAACATCAACGGATACCATACAAATATTAAATTACATTTTAAACGAAAAAAGGTTTGTGCGTTTTATCTTTTTAAAAACACGTAAAATTGATAATCACCGTTTTGTCTGACAGACTGATTTAACTTTGTGTGTACAGTTTTTGTTATAAACGTATTATTTTGTGTCTCTGCTGTGTTCTATTTTGGTATTTAATTTCTATCAAAAATTAGTATGGTGAGATTTCTTAATGAAACTTTGTTGGTCATGTGTTTTGTTGTGTCTTATCAGATATGATAATTTAAAGCTACAAAGTGTAAAGGTTCATACAGATTTATTTATGGGTGTGTGTGCGTGTATGTGTACTTCACATGTTACTATTAGTTGTATTCTGAAAGTTAATAAAATCTGTTTGGTTTGACACAGGTGAATAATAATAATAAAAGAAAATGGCATTTCGTGAATTAGTTGAGGGTGACTGTGGTGGACCTAGTTCTTTAGTCCATCTTACATCACATTTTGTGCGTGATCATGGATTCAAGGAAGAAGGAATACATCATCCATTTGGACATGTGGAACCATTTCAGCCTTCAGATTCAGATCAGTTAGTTAAACAATTTTTAGAAGAAAATGCTTCGTGTCCTCAAACATTTAGAATGGATAATTTATTACAAGAGATGCGAGAAATTGATCACAACATTCATCCACCTATAGCAGCACCAGGAGTAGCTCAAGAATTAACAGGTTTAGATACAGCATGGGCAAATCAATATCTTGAATCTGGACGTCATTTTAGCGTAATTACTTTTGTTATTTTGTTGTAATACATGTTAGTCGTACAAGAATAAAATAAATATTTATATTTCTCTTTTGATATAGGAACATCATACTGATGATATCTGGCATCCTGATATAGAACAGAATTCAAATGTTGTAATTCAACAGACACATGAATTAGGATTAGGACCAAAGTGGGCAGAGGAATACATAGAACATAGCATTGATGCTATACAAAATGATATTAATAAAGATGATACAACTGAGACAACAGAAAATGATAAAACTAAGTTTGCATATTCAAAATTTATGAAATTTATGAAACAAGAGGGAGAAGAAGAATTAGCTGTTGCTGGTAATTGGATAGACGAATTTCAGAAAGATAAGACTTCTTCAGGTTAGTATATAATTACATCTTGATTTTCTGTTTTTATATAAATTTGAAGATACATTTTTAGCTAATAATTTGTGTTTTAGAGACAGACAATCATGATTCTGCATTTTTACGACTTCAAAATGAATGGGAAAAAGTATCATCTTCCGAAGAACTATCCAGTAAACATCCATGGTTATCAGAATATGATACATATTATGATCCATTCAAAGATTATGAATTTCATGAAGAAAATCCCATGAAGAATATACCTAATCCATTAGAAGAAGGAAAGAAAAGATTAGAAGCTGGAGATTTACCAAGTGCTATACTTTGCTTTGAGGCAGCAGTACAACAAAATGAAAATGATTCAGAAGCTTGGTTACTTCTAGGTAAAACTCAAGCTGAAAATGAACAAGATCCATTCGCAATTTCAGCTTTGAAACGCTGCCTGACTCTTGATCCTATGAATGGTGCTGCCCTTATGGCCCTTGCAGTTTCATACACAAACGAATCCTATCAAAACCAAGCGTGTTTAACGCTAAAGGAATGGTTACTAAAAAATGAAAAATACAAGCATCTTTCACTAAGAAAGGCTAACATTGATCAACACCCAAAGTCTCATGTATCATCAATTCTGTTTGAGTAAGAATCCAGTCTATTTAATAATGTATAATATAACAAAGCTGCACGAATGAATCCACGCGATGAAATTGATGCTGATGTTCAGTGTGGACTAGGGGTGCTCTTTAATTTGTCTAACGACTATGATAAAGCTTGCGATTGTTTCCAGGCAGCGTTACAAGTACGCCCGAATGTATGTATAATGTTCGAAGCTGCCGTATTTCGTGTATACAGACGTATTAAAAATTTAATATCTTTATAGGATTCCAGGTTATGGAATAGATTAGGCGCAACGTTAGCTAATGGTCAGAAACCGGAGGAAGCTATAAATGCGTACCATCGTGCCTTAAAATTATCTCCTGGTTTCATTAGAGCACGCTACAATTTGGGAATTTCTTGCATAATCCTCGGAGCACATAAGTAAGATTTTTCTCACATATTCGACTATTTTAATCTTAAATAATTACAAAATTCTGTGTCATCTTGTAGAGAAGCTGGTGAACACCTTTTAACTGCTCTAAATCAACAAGCTGCCGGTCGCGGAACGCAGGGTGAAAGTCTTTCGCCAAAAGCCATGTCCAATACCATTTGGTCAACATTGAGACTTGTTATTTCATTGATGCACAAATACCACCTAAACGAAGCTATAGAAAGCAGGTACAATTAAAGAATGTGTAACAAAAACTTATAAAAAAATTCGTTATACATTTAATATTACTTATTTCAGAGATCTAGCGAGGCTGAATACAGAGTTCGAGATTGTATGAAGATTCAAACTTGTTGAAGCTACTTGTTAAAAAAGTATAAACCGTTTTTAGTTTTTATGGTAACGCAAATAAAATGCTTAAAAACTATTTTCTAATAGTTAAAAAGAATGTATATATATAAACAACAATTAGACTCATGTTTTTACATATTTCCTTGCTACAAAAGGGAATAATTTAACAATATCATATACCCGATTAAGATACTTTATATTTTTAGAAGTTGTTTTGATTTAATATTTCTAACAGGTATACAGATCTTTATCATTTCATCTTATATAAATTCAAAATGGGTTATAAATTATATGTACATAAAATTGTTATAGAATCAATAAAAATGAATTAATCCCTGAGTGAAATAATTAATTTTAGGATCTTAAAGATACAAAACGTTGGTAATCTCTATTTTCTCTTAAAATAATAACACTATTAAAGTGTAATTGTACAATAAAGAAGCATTATGATATGAGTTACAGATATATTATTTTTGTCATAATTTATAAATATCGTAGATCATTTCTAACAGAATTATATTATATTTTTAACAAAGAGAAATTAATTCTATAGGCACATCAAAGTTACATATTTCGTAACATTCAGAGAGTGATGAAAATGCTACATAATATGAACAACGAACTTAATAAAAAGTAACTATCTTAGCGCATATAAGTTTTTCTAAACACATGCCATCTCGCCCTTAACGGTGAAAATAGAAACAATTTTCAACAGATTATTAGAAGTTAGAAGCATCTAAACAGTAGTCAGAATCCACAATTATTGTTACAAAATTTTTTCCATTAGTGTTTAAAGCATTCTATTGAGTAAATATATAACACTGTAAACTCTTGAGTTTTAAGTATATGTTTGGTTTTGCATAAACTTTTAATAATTGATTTTGTCATTCGCTAAGGGAAAGATAACACACATCTAGATGCAATACAATATATCTATATAGAACGCCTCAACAATCCATTATACATATATGAATTCATTTTATCTATAGTATTTGTCTGCAATTTTTGACATTCTTGTCTAATAAAATTTTGTTTGTAGGTATAATTATTGTAAAGAAAATAGAACACATTATATATTTTGATCAAAGAAATGTGTAGTTTATAAAATGTCGTTCTTATAAATGACTAGATAGTAACGGTAATTGCGAAATTGTGCATTAGATAACAATTATTTGAAAATTTATTATTAAAACGAAAAAAAACATTCATAAAAGCGAGAATAATTAAAAAATTGTTGACGGCACAAATACATCAGGAAAGAAGAAATAGACTATTAATCTTTAAAAACAGACAATTATATCGAATGTCAAGCAACATTTGGAAAGCGATAGATTGCGAATTAATAGGAATTTTCAGAAGTCATATCACATGAGGAATTATTAGTTATTGTTCTTAATAAATTTGACTAAGTATACTCTGCTTCGAATATATCTCCCCTATAATCACATGTAACACAACTTACTGTTGCGTTCATGACATATACTTTTTGTGGATAAAATGAATTGGACCTATGCTATCGTCCTACGACGATACAATTATTTAGTTAAAACTGTTGCTCATAATTTTAGAGTTGACAAAAGTTGTTGTCCAGTTTCCATCATTAAGGATTTCACGTGTTCTGCATGCATAATCTGAGTACACATTTCGGTGCATTTTTGAAATGCTATGATGTCGTCTTTTGGAACAACACGATGAAGACCGTCTAATGACAATGTATGGGGTAGATAATTTAAAATTTCTGAAATGTGACAAAATATATTAAGTGTACCAAGTACACTTATTTCCACAAATAAAGGCAAGTAATATACCTTTCATGATTTGTGTGTACAAACAGTGTAACTCTTGTCGTGTATTTGACATAGAAATTTTTCTCTGCGTTAATTCGATTAAATATTTCCATTCAGACTCTCTGGTATAAATATCCTACGATTGCAAAATAATCTTATAAAATTTTATTACGGAAGTAATAATATACCGTAAGAAATAATAGTGCAAAGTGTATAATACATACCTTTGCATATTGTATAATAGCTTGAGGACAGTTCTCCATCAAAAGCACAGTTACTTCCTCTATGTTCTGAATGCATAAAGTTTTTAAAGATAAACTACCTTCAATTTCTTGGCTATCAAGAAATTGCTTCACTTCATGTAAGCATTCGTTTGGTACAAAATCGCAAGAGAGTAACAATTGTAGTTTGAACAATTCCGCAGGTATAGTTTTGTCAGAGACAGTCTTATCAATGTTTGCTAAATCCTTTACATTATTCGTATTTAACATTTTTTGATAATCTTTCGCGTAAGGTGGCATTCTATCTAGATAATCAGGTCTGAACTTTGAAAATATAAAATTAGTATAATTTTCTTCTATGCTTTCTCTATTCTCTAGTTTGTACACTTTCGTTTGAGACAATTTTCCCAAATACGAGCGTACTAATAGCTTGAATGCCTCGACTAAGGCAAAGTCCGTGTGTATTTGATTTTTATTTATAACAGACGAATCTGTGATTAACTTTGTACTGAAGTAATTGTGAAGATATTTCTCGAGGAAAACTTGTAACGCCATCGCTGCACTATGTCCATCCCGACCCACCCTCGAGGGTAGATACTCTAAAAACACTTGTATAATTTGATGAAGAGATAGAATTCCATCGTCTTCTATTATCTGTATTAGAATATCAGCAAACGTCGAATTCTTTTGACGCATTAATGTACCGGCCAAATCGGAGAATGTTGGAATCATCGGACTTCTCTTTCGCATGGCCGTCATGTCGAATAATAAGTCCCAATGTTCGATAATTACCCTTTTAATACATTGCGTTGAAACTGGTTCAAGTATTTTCTCTGCTTGTTCATGCTTCTCAGCTTGAATATATAAAACCGTCAAAGCTAGCTTAATTAATTCGTCGGTTTCATACAGTAGTAAAAGATGTATCAACTTTTCTGTGGTATACTCTCGCAGAACAGAGCTGCTGAAGATTAATTTCAGTAAGTCTCCCTTCTTTAATTTACAAATCATTTCTATGATATTAAATCCTTGAAACAACGCATCAGCCTCTGAACCACTTTTTAGGGTCAGAAGTATATCCGTTAGGAAAGTAACAAGACCTGGCGCATCATGACTCGATTTTCTGGACAACACCTCCACGGGTTTCAGTCCCGACATCTTGTAATATGGTATACAAAGATCCCAATCCGATTCGTATTCCGACCGAATATAATAATCCGCAAGTAGTGCACAAGATTGATTGTATAAATTTTTCAATTTCAGCCCATTTTTGTTTGCAATGTCATCAACTTCATCGTTATCCGAACAATTGCACGAAGTGTCTTTTGCTAAACGTATCAGAGCATGGGCTTCTCCAAGTAAATGTCTATAGGTGCTAGGACTGGAAGATTTGTGACTTCTTGCTGTGTTTAAAATGTCGTAATATAAATTCTCCAGTTTAGGTAAAATTAAAGAGTATAGAGTCCATGAATTCTCTGCTTTGGCTAAGAGAATTAAGTAGCTTTTGCTATGTAATACTTGTTGTATCCCCAGAAATGGTCGCAAGCCGATTAGGCAAACGGGTTCAGAGACACTAGGACATGTAATTTTCAAATTATCTAGATTGTTTGACGTTCTCGCGATATGATGGGACAAACGTAAAGTATAAGATTCTAGACCAGCTTCGGTCAGTGCATGTAGAGCCGTGTGTTCCAAAGCTACATGATTAACTGGGGCAGTAAATGGATAAGTAGTTAAGCATGTTGCATCTGTAGGATTGGTACTAGTAGCAGAGAAGTGATAAAGGTATCCTTCTTGTAGAGTACATAAGAAACAGCTTACACCTTGCAAGTACCTATACACTTCTGACCTGAGAATTGATTTTTTCAAGCAAGAACTGTTGCATTCCTTTTTCATATAAAGCGGCTTAAGCAATAAGCAACTGAATAATTCAGAGTTTCCATCAAGTTTAGAGTTATTGTTAACTGGCACAATTTTAAGAGACAATAAATTTTTTATTATATAATTTTCTGACCAGCCCAAGTCAGGAGAGTTTGTTTTAATTGCAACTCTGATATCTGATGGATTTAATATAAAAGGACTTAAAGTATGCCCAGGCCCTGCTCTTTCTACACTTATGGATGGAAAGTTTATAGTTAGTGGTTGTAAACTTCCATCAATAACATCTTGAGTGATTAACCTTTGTAACTCATCCCTTTCATTGCGTACTAAACGATCCAAATCTATGATAGTTTTGTTATTGTTAGATTTTATTATATTGAAATCTCCAGTTTCTAGTTTATACCATACATTTGTTTTGGAGTTCTTATGTTTCTTATTCTTAGATTTTGGGTTTATTCCAATAGCATCATTGATTTCCGATGTAACAAAATGAAGATCTTGAGAAGAATTTCTGTATTTTGAATTTGTTGTTTGCTGCATTACATTCTCCTCTTGCTTTCCCACACTACTACTATATTCCACAAGAGAAGAATCAGTAGATATAGATGTCTTGTCAATAGAAGAGGAATTTGTAGAAGTTAAAGAGCTCAATTGATCAATATCTTCATACATTGAGTTAGTTAGTCTAAAAACACATAAATTTGTTTTATCCATGACTGATATAAAATCTTCAACAATCTCTATACGTGTAGGGCAAAAAGAAAATCCCAAAGACCATGGTCGTGCCTCAAAATCTATGAACTTCATTTTGGACACTTGCTGTGTTTCAACTTTGAATTCGTGGAGAATAGCACTATTTCCTGAAGCTACTAACAGGTTTCCAGTGCTTTGGCAGCAAGCAATTAATGTGGGCTGTACACTTAATGGTAACTCTATCATCTCTAAACTATTTAAAGGTCTGTTTAAGCTTGGAGTAACACGTCCTGCTATTCTAGCACGCATAGGTTGACTTTGATCTTTGACTATAGCCCAGTTGACATAAATTCTAACAAAATTATTAGTTGCTTTCCCAATCTGATTATTAATACTTGCATCTCTAGCATATTTTGATTCAAGTGTGACCACATAATCTCCTTTAGAACAGTGTACCATTTGATTAATCATGTCAACTGTTGGGAATACAGTATGTAATTTAATATCAGACATTGTTAGTTCCCATACTTCAACACAATGTGTTGAAAGTGCTAAAAGGAGCATTTCATGTCCAGATGCATTTGCTATGCAGCTTGCAGTTGGCTCCTCAATTTGTGTGATGTTTTGTCCCAGGAAATTATGAACTGTGATTACACGCACCATGTTGCTGTTTCTATTCAGATAGATGCTCAAACATACCTTGCATTGTATTCAGAAAGAAGTCATGGTATGTGAACCATTATGTTGACCATTTACATGACCAAACTGTAAAGACGATATTATCTTAAAAATTGTTGTCTATTTAAATGCGTTACGGCATCTATGTACGTTTCAGATCGGAATTAAATTATTTTTTTAAATATGTGTTTCACAATTCGTTAAGGTTATCTTACATTATGTTACATAAAATTATTCACATAAAAGTTACTTCAACAACGGTTAATTCGTTGTCTTCTTGGAGCCTTTTAATATTAACGAGGTAGATATTTAAATGTAAAAGAAAAGAAGATAAATATCACTTTGCACTTTTTTAAATGATACAAAATCTACGTTAACCGCTTAAAAATCCGTATTAATGAACGCAGTAATGCGTACTTTATCATTCTAATAACTTTCCACGAATTTACAGTGTTTGTTATACAGTGACTAACAATGAGTTGTATCGAATAGTCAAGTACAAGAAAAGCGAATCGTCCGCTACTCGTCGGAAAGCGACATTACGATACATAAATAACGTTGTATATCATACATAATTTTGCACACTACTATTGTCTAAAATATTATTAATATCACAAACTAGAAGAAAGCGAATACAGTCGGCTCATTTGACAGATTTACTTCTATGCGCATGTGCATTAAAATATAAATGTGTTACCTACGCGCCTTTAGTTTTCATCGCCTGTCGATGTAAAAACTTTACTATTTAAAAATTTTAATAATAGAATATAATTTTGAATATATACATAGTAAACATTAATCAATATATTAAACCAATCATATTGACCAAAAAATGTAACGCGAACGTCTTCACAAACTTTAGTGCACTTACCATCTTTTATTGTTGCTGATTAAAGCTCACTACGCGGCACTCAAAGTAAAGTAAGTACCTTAATGCTTAAGTTAATACTCAAAGTGAAACTTTTCTGTAATATATTTTGTGATACATAGATTTAATATATTCAGGATACAATTAAATTACTGGGAACTTCAATTTTTATTACATTTATCTAAACAATCATACATGTACTGTTGCAATACTTTTTTAAACTGTATCATACAAAAATTTTACTTAAAAAGTTCATTCTCAAAATATTTTTTACATAAGTATCTCATAAACTTGTAATCTTATATTATCTCAGTATGCTTAAATATGAAATACACTTCCATTCATTTCACCAGGGTTACTAGCAATAAACAAACCATACAAAATATAGGGTGATCTTAAATTAATCATTCCATTGATTTTCCTAACAGTCATACATAGGATATATTCTAAAAAATCTATCATTTTGCTGAAATAACTTTCTCAAGATGACTTTTAAGAGTTTCTAATTGCTTCATGGTCTCTGGATCTAATGTAGGAATGTTTGACATACGTAGTCCACCTTGAGGGAGCAAAGACATCACATTGCCATTACGCAAAGGAACATTAATATTGGCACTATCTTCCTGCACAATTGAAGAAACCAACAATGGGCTACCTTGCATACTGAGAACCATTTCACCCTGCCTTGGACGTCTTAATACATTTAATGGTGTATTGGGTTTGATCTTTGGAGTCACAAGACCATACTCATTGTTCTCAGGTCTTAAAAATGAAGGAGTTTTAAATTTATCAGCTTTTGTGAATTGTTTACCACGGTCTTTCCTAATTTTCTTTACAGTCTCTTGGTTAACTTCATTAAGCTTCATTTGACTGTTTCTAGAACTGCTTTGTGTCCGTCTTGTGTTTCTTCGTGGTTCAACATTTTTTTGAGCTCTTGAGACACGAGTCGTTGCAACTCCTTCAGTTACATATCCATCGTCGGACACAGTAGTAATTCTTTTCACAGTTTTACCTTTTGCTGTTGTCGAGGGCGGTGGCAATGAAAAGTCATCGACAGATGACGAAACTTCAGTGCAATTTTCATTTTTAACGTCAATTTCGTAATTCAATATATCGCCAAGGGTCATTTGCCGTATCTCTGCTGGAAGCCGAGACAGAATAACATCAATAAACGTTTCCAGACTTTTTATTGCCATTTTTCCTTCCGCTTCCATTTTTAATATTCGTAAATGAGCTTGTCGCTCAAAATCTTTTACTAATAAATCGCTTTCTTCCACAACTTGTTGTTCCTGTTTAGGTTTTCGAATATGTTTCGTTCGCGGCATTTTTGCACCAGTGTAAAATATTAAATCTAATAGAGTCGTTTGGTAATTTCCTTACTATCGCACGTGCTCAGTGAACGTAAAAATGACTTCCAAGGAATCCGTGTTTGAAAATTCTCACTTCAAAAACGGTTACATCAAACTAATGTTTTCAATTGCGTTCACCGCCATATTTCATGTCAGTATTCACACAATCCATAGAGTGGCGAATACAATGATACAAAATAAGCGTATTTTAACACAATGCTCTGGTGACATTTCTCAGAACTAAATTTTAAGCGTTCAACAACCGATACAACCACCGACTAGGTTTAGAATAGACCTATCATCCAATGCTTTTTTCTGTCCCACGTTCTTTGAAATTTCCTCTACAAAATACAGATCTTCGAAAATGGTTTTTATGCGTAAGAGACCCCGTGTGTTAGAGAAAGTGGGGTCACAGAACCCCCAGTGTATGCGCCAGAGACCCCGAGTTGGAGAATATGGGGTCATAGAACCCCCGTGAGGTGCAAGGGACCCCCGTTGTACGAGATCGCGGGGTCATAGAACCCCCGGGCGTGCGCGAGAGACCCCGTGGTACGAGCACGTGGGGCCATAGAACCCCCGGTGCAGCTGCAAGAGATCACGTGGTGTGAACGTGAGGTCATAGAACCCCCGGGGCATGCGTAAGAGGTAGTTTATACGTACGTTTGTGTTTATATTTTTATATTTTATATTAAATATTTAAAGAAATAAA